GTCTGTCAGTATTGGCTCTGTTATTGCCTGTGTGGTTTTTTACATTGTGAACATGTGACTTACCGTGCATGAGGCYGAATACCTGTGTAGTTTTGTTGAGCTAGTTTTGCCTGGGCGGCTTGCAATGGAGTAGAATGCCTGTGCGGCGTGTGTTATTAATTTGGAATACCTGAGTGATTCAAGGAAGGGACTCCAATGCTTGGGGAATGCCCACGTGGTTTATTTCGAAATTTTAGAATTACTTGGAATTCAAATTTATAAAGACTTCAGCAGATTGAATCGATTTAGAGGGAATTCACTTGAGTTGAAGAAGAAGAGACCCGTGGGTTAAATGCTGGCTTAATTGCCCTGTTTGTTTTTTCTGGTGTCAGGGCCGTGTCATTTGCTTTTCTTAAACTTTTGTAAGCGTTTTTGTACATAAATACTAATTTGTCTCTACTATTGTTTGTCATTTTCTCTTGGGTATACAGTCAATTCAAAAAATGTTGTCGTCGACGAACTCAAGCCTACGCGACTGGACCAAAAGGAACTCTGGGTAGTAGTCATTGAAGCCGAGTTGACTACATAATCTTATCTGACTAGTTATGCCTGGCTTACAGCACGAACCTTCGTAGGCGAGCGGAAAGTGTTGAAGGAGAYGGTTTTTTTTAATGCCTTCATATTTTCGGAATTGTGAACTGAATAGTAACTACTTTGTTTTTCTTTCCCTAACCCCAAAGACATGCATTTTATGGATTGTTTCTCGCCATTATTATCTTATTACTAGCAGGAACAATTAATTCAGAACAAATATTTAACCGCTTCATTGATTTTAACCCATATTCCTTTCGGTCCAGCGCGTAGGCTTGAGCCGGTCGACGACAACGTTTTTTGAATTGACTGTATCAAAAATGTAGAGTGCGCTTTTTCAAGTGGGCTTCATGCTATGTATTCGGTCAGGGTTATTGTTTAAATGTCCATATCTATTTGTTTGAATACTTTTGGAATACAAGCGTTTGTGTGGTTTGACCATGAAGTTATTGTCTTAGATCGCCGAATTGTCCTGAATAAACTATGAATAATTTGTAGGGTGTCACTGTTTTATGGTATTGTAACGGTTATTTTATTCTAGTTTTGAACTGGGGCATTTGGCAATAAGGTGTGAATATTTTCAAGCCCGAACAATAGTCCATAGTTTTTGGTTTCTTTTCAATCAGATTGCCGAAATAGATTGAGCAGTATGTGTTGTTCTTGGGCTTCGTGTGACAAACCCTTAAAATAATTAAATAGTGGGATCCCTGTTCCAGACCTTTGTAGTCTATTTGGGTCTAATTTCAATTGCTGTCTTGTTTTTTCATGTTAATTGTTCCTTGATTAGGGCGGGTAACTCCTGTTGACTCTCCGCATTTCTCGGAAGTTAATGGACGTTCTGCATGCAGGCGTTGTGAGGTTACACCCTCCTGACCGGGAACCCCTTTTGTTTTCTACCCATGGGGATATACGTCAATATGTTTCTTTTTGTCCTTGATCCCCTCTACGAAGAGAATATGTCTTAGTCGAGAGAACGGACAAATTAACACAAAAAGAGGATTTTGAAATGCAGTTAACGGGTGTGAATCCCGGAACCTTTGCTTATATTCGATGGGTGAACATACAGGGGGGTTCCCTGTCAGGATGGGAGTTTTGCCTGAATGGTGATTGGGCAGACATATTTTTGTCTGATTCGGTCCTAGACCTTCAAAAGCTGACACTTCGAGACCCGGATACGTTCGTTGCGGTAGGTCTCCACTTGAATTCTGCCTCTGGGAGCCATCCCTCAAGGCCATCCTCGGTTTAATAGACTCCATTTTAATAATCTGGATAAGTTAACCAACAGTTATATTGAGGATGTAGGAATGTAAGGTTAGGAAAGAGGAGTCGCGTATTATAATGGAATGCTGTGAAAACCATGGTATTTATCGACCTGTTGTGATATGGCTAGCAGGGTTCGAGATGTGAGCCGGGTCTTGGGGAAGGCCAGAGTGATTCCCCATACCTTATTTATAACAATTCCCAGGGACAGAATAATACACTATTCAAAGTCATGTGAATGTTGTGTAATGGTCCCTGGGGATTAACATTGAATATATRTAAAGGGAATATTTTATCATCTCATTGCACTTGGTTCTACCCGTAAGAGACGCGTAGCGACCCACCCTCCTCCCCCATTGATGAAGACGGTTTTAGCTCCGACGACTTTGGTCGTCCGCTCTGGTTTGGCTTGTTCCAGGCCAGAGTTATTCCCCATACCTTATTTGAATAACAATACCTAGGGACAGAATAATACACTGTTCCCTTTATTTGAATAGTGCACCTGTTGACAACAATACTGAAAAAGTAGTATAGCTATCTCTAATTTTTAAAAACGTTTTAAAATTTTGTATTTTTAAATAAATATATAGAAATAGACAAAAGTTAAATGAACCGGCTTACAAAAAACACAACCTAATCTATCTAAGCAGCTTGTGTCGACCATGCAGACCAACAGCAATACTCGTCTGCCTGCTCAAGAAGCACAGCAAAAGCATTTTTATGTTGTCAAAGGTGTAGATGTAGTCAAAAAAAAAATTGCTTCAGGTATTGGGGCCCTAAAGCGAATTAGGCCATTCGTCCCGTTATCAACATTACACATTATTTATAAAGCATTGGTACAGCCCCATTTCGACTATTGTAATGTCGTTTAGGGTAATTGTGGAAAAACTCTCTCAGATAAGCTACAGAAGCTCCAGAATCGTGCAGCACGGGTGTTGACCTTCTCTAATTACGATGTAGATGCCGGGGCTTTGATTGAAAAACTGGGATGGTCTACCCTTAGTGTTCAAAGACAAAAACAAAAGGCCATCTTAGTTTTCAAGGCCCTACATGGTACCACTCCTGAATACCTTAGCTCTAAATTTGTATTCAAGAGGAATACCACTTGCTATTCATTACGAGACTCCGCCAACAAACTGAACATCCCTCTTCCGCGCATAAATTATCTCAAAAACACATTTACCTGCAGTGGTGCGCAATTATGGAATAGTCTGCCAAATAACTTAAGGCAGGCAGAGTCTCTCAAAGAATTTCATAGACTATTGGGAACATATTATGTATAGTAAAGCACGGCATTCATGGAAAGCAGGTTTTTATTTTATTTTATTACATTAGATTAAATTTAGTATAGATTAGTTGATTATTTTAAACATTTTGTAAATCCTGATGATTACACCGTGGTAAAATAAAGTTTTATCTAAAAAGATACACTAAGAACAAATAAATACAACATTTGAATTATACCTACATATTCATTGTGATTGTTTTATTTTATTGTTGGGGAATAAATATTTTAAAATATATAATCATCGATGAATTATCGAATTTTTCCCCCTATTCTTTTCCCTGTTAAAATATTGTATGATAGATTGACATGTGAAATTAACACCATTGGTAATAGTTATTAGGAATGTATTGGTAAACAATCCACAGTCCAAAATAGTATTTCGTCGATATTTATTTATTAAACAAAACTGTATTACATGGCGACGCGGAGATACGGATTTTACTTTCTCGTGTTGAATATCTGCCCTCACTCTTATATAAGATATCACCTCAACACTCAAAGATATCCTTATCTCCGCGCGGCCACGCATTTAATATCCTCCATTTAATGAATGACGTTTTTTTGTTTGTTTGACTTTAGACTGATTGAAAAACACGTCTAAGTTCGATAAATACATAAATAAGATGACCAAAACAAAGTCTAATACCTGTCTTAAGCAATTTAACAGTTCGGTTAGACAACAAGATGGCTCAGTTTACAAAACCTAAACATCGAATGCGATTCGTGCAGCTATCGACAGGTGTATTAAAGCATTGTACCATAAATTAAATAAAAAAACCGCATATTATCATATTTCCAGTTGTTGTCTATTCAATAACACAATTATCCCACTCACTCTTGAAGTCTTGCCGTATATGAACTCACAGCCAACTACTTGCATTGCCAGGTGGCGTCGTTACCTTTATGAGCTCATGTACGACTCGAGTTCATTTTTGGAAAGTATTCCTCGTTAAAAAGATGTTTATTTTATTTTTGTGTTGTTCAAAAAAATAAGAAAAATAACAAACCGTTTACATCTTTCAAGTTTAAGTTAAGGAGTATTGATACTGTATATAATAGCTCAAGTTAACGATTCGCACTGGAAACAGCAATGTCATATGTATATATACAGTCCTTTGACTAAACGTTGTCGGTGATCGGATCATCCCCACGCGCCTAGACCGAAAAGGATAACGGGTAAATTACCCAAATATTGCGTCATCCAAACTGCTCGTCAGCTTAAATCTTGGCCGTATGCTCGAGGCATGGTTTTAGCAAGTTGAATGGGATCGAAAACAGCGAGCTCAAGACGTGTTAGATAGCATATGCGCAGCTAGTAACTGTGAATTAATTATCCTCATGATCTTTTTCGGTCTAGGCGCGTAGAGATGAAGCCGATCAAAAGACAACGTTTAGTCAAAGGACTGCATATATATACTTCGTGTGAGACAGAGAGTAAGAGAGAGAGAGAGAAAGAAAGAAAGGGGATACGCGCTGTCTCGCACGAAGTAAGGCTTTATTTCCCTGTTTTGAACCCCATTTTTTTGGTATTTGTAAAAGTTCGCCATTTATTATTCTTTCTAGATAATCAATGCTTTTAAGAACTCTAGAATCATTTATGCCTCTGCTGCAATGTCAACGAATCGTTTGTCTTCAGCCACGGCTTGAACTAATACGTCATGCTGATGAATGTTTTTTTTATTTTTATTTTTTTCATATATTATTATTGAAACCTTTTTGAATGAAGTTGCTCATAAAGTTTCTATCGTTTATTACATTAAAGTTATGATTTATTAAATAAAACAATTACTGAATATGGTTTATTTGATATTATGCAGACACAAATGTATGCATAGCCTAAAAAGGCAAAGGTCATAAATTACAGCTATCTATTTACAATAATGAATTTATTAATTCAACATGCGAAAGTCTGGCGTTCGATAAACAGGTAGAAAACCAAATGGTTAAGTCAGCCGATGGCAGGAGCCTTAACATTGAAGTGTTCTTACTTTTGCCTCATTTGTATGGTTTGTGAAGCTTGGTAAGCTGTTATTCCAATTCATTCTTTGCATAACCAACAGACTTAATACTATAACCTCATGGTTAGACAATGGCCCAAGTGCACAACAAGGTTTAATTTCACGAAATAAGCTTACTTTGTAATTCAAAGATAAAACAATATTCACAATCTAAAGTACACTGGCGGTCCTTGTGTGAGTTGAAGGCGTTGGGAACCTGTGGGAAGCCGTGATTTCAATGTTTCAGCGAGTGAAAAAATAACGTGACTAGCTTAATGTGTGAAAACAACAGGGAAGTCTGGCTCCACACTCGCAGATTTAAAACGTGTAACCGCGATCTGCACTTTTACTTTTTTTGCCTATAGAAAATGTGGAAACAAAGCCATATAATAATAGAGTAGAAAGACATACACCTTGGTGACACTTTTAAAAATGAGCAGTCGACATTCGACAATTTTTTTATTCATAATAATAAGTTAGATCTTAATACCTCTCGCAACTACCCGGGTACTCTCCAGAAATGATGAGGATTTAATTGACACATTGCTTTAATTCAGAATAAATTAAAAGCCAAATCGTTTTTAGTAAAAAAAAATAAAAGTAAAGGACAAATGCATATGTACATATTATGTATATTTTAAAATATAGATATATATTATGGCTGGTTGAAATGGTTGGTTGGATATTGATGCCTTACGGTGTCACGCATACTCGTGACATGCTCGTTCTTTTTTATTAAGTAATGCTAAACAAACAAGCCGACTAAATCTTTTAAGTCACATAAGTAAACTTTTTTTGTTTTCCTATGATATTTGGCCAAAAGAACAAATATTATTTGATGCCAATGAAAATATTGCTATTGTGAAACCCACTGCAACGCATATGATCAGCACTGATGGGGTAGCTGTTTTGGATCAGTGACTCAGTACGATTGTAAGTCTATTGTGGTCATTTAGAAGAGCTACAGCAAAAAACCTGATGCGTATACGAACCTATATTTTGCTCTTTCACTCCGACGGACTAGCGTCCGAAACGTCAGTAAATTTTTTCATGTTTTCACGGTGTATAATTTATCCTTTTATCATTACTGTTTCATTAGAAACACAGACGCAGCTCACACTAGTTTTTAGCTAGTTATCTCTACGTATATTTTTTCAAGTTAGCCTAAAATGTTTCTTATGGGAATGGTGTTTACTAAATAGGCTATTTAGCTTTAAACAGGCTCTTAGTATTTTCTTTGGAAAAAATGCGACTCGTTTTTGGCAGGTGTGCTCTAAGTAATATATGTAATTTTTTGCATAACGTTTCTCCAAATGACTGCAATCGGAGCAAAAACACTGCAAATAGGTTGCTATCAACAGACGTCACTTCCGGTAATAGCTCTTTTTTGATGACTTGTAGAATCCTGGAGGTTGTTTTGATCTCTTGTTTTCTGGTTTGATGTCGTGAAAATAGTCAAATAAAATAGTTTGAGGACTTATTTTGATATGTTTTGACTTAGCATCCGCTAGTTGCCCCCCAGTCAACCGCTTGTTTGCCCCCCAGTCAACTCCAAAAAAGTCACGTGATTGATAGTAAGCAATACACTGTATATAATTTAATTTACAGAGTCTATTTTATTTTATTTATGAATTTTTAGTTTTGACTCTATTTGATTAAATAAGAACCGGCTTTGAAACTTTAGCCTAAAACAGGTTCTTATGTAAATTAGGGTCTAAACGAAAAAAACATTAGCTTAACAGGTTGTTAAAATCTAGATTCTCATACACGGGTTTGTTCTGTATTTTCAAGATCTAGTATTAACCTTACCAATTACTTCCTAATAGGGCTAACAGCTGCATTTGTTCATATCATGTTCGTTTGGTGGAAAATAGTTTACCTAACGCTGGTCGAGTAGAAGTGTATTATAACAATTATTGGAGGTCTATATGTGACACTAGCTGGGACCTACAGAATGCTCATGTCATTTGCAGAATGCTTGGATATGAACAAGGTGCTATTGCAGCCATTCGAGGGTTTCAAGGCTCGGATGACTTTTGGTTGTCGGGAGTAAACTGTACAGGAAATGAAACCACTATTGAAAGCTGTAAGAATTTGAAATGGGGCAATAGGAACTGTACTAACAGTCGAGCTGGCGTTGTTTGCACGTCAGGTACGTGACTTTATAGACCATTTTTTTGTCGACCATTCCCGCTGTTTTTATCCTTTATGCTTTATAAAGCTTTCAAAATCGTCAAAGACTAAAGATTGTTTAGACATATACAATTAATAATACAATAAAATATGCTTTTGAACATTCGTTTTTTACGTTAGATCATCGTCGAGACGTAGCTGTTCGTCTGGTTAATGGGAGCAGCCCAAATTCAGGTCGAGTGGAGGTTCGATATTTTGGAGTCTGGGGCACAGTATGCCACGATACTTGGGATTCACGAGATGCTCACGTGGTCTGTCGTATGTTAAACTATAGCAAAGCATCTTGGGCAGGAACTTCTAAGGTTCAAGGAAGTGGTCCTATTCTACTGGATGATATTAAGTGTCTTGGTAATGAGAAATCCCTTGAGGACTGTTTTATTACCCAGTGGGGAAGACATGATTGTTACCATCATGAAGATGCTGCTGTCACCTGCGAAAACGCCACGCAAGGTAAGTTTCATTTTTAACACGTACAACCTCGTGTTGTTCTGCCAGAAAGAATAACCATGGAAACTTGCTATTCAGATGATGATGAGTTAATGTATGAAGCAATAAAAATAAAGTTTGGTAAAACAATAGCCCTAGTAGTATAGGGAATGGGGGTTCCAGCGCAATCTCAACACGGG